AGGACTTAATGTATATCGTAAATAGAAACTAACACGGCCGCCATAAATCTCATCGCCCCATACTGTACAAATTCTTCGGACTAAGTTTAATAATAATTATTATTACGCATTACGTATATCTCTAATTTGTCGGACGTATCGGCGCCGCCATCGTCGCAGTACTTGCTGCTGCCATGTTACTTAATAATTAATGGTGTCTGTAGCAATAACATCAAAACATAACTAAGCAATAATAACTCATATTTAATAATAATAATAATAATAATATAATAAAACTAATACTCCGCACGTCCGCCATATAGATTCGAAACTACATGGTGAACCTGACAGGTCAATTTTTAAAACAAAATAAAAATAATAATTAATAGTGAGGATGATGATAATGATAATAATAATATAATAATAATAGTTCGTAAATAGAGTCATGTGTCTATAAAACTTTTCTACAAATAGATACACCGATTCTCGGGGCTAACCGCGTCACATGCATCTCTCTCATTTTTCGATTCCACGATATTTTATTTCTTTTTTTGTTCCGTATACAATGAGCCGGAGTTTAGGCGCGATCGTATTTCTTTGTTTTTTGGCATTCCGACAGAACAACCGAAAGATCCTTGGGCTACGGCCACAAAATATACAATAATTACGTTGTGTACTCTTAACAGATACGTGGAGTGGAATCGATATACAAATATATGTTCTATTGTTCCATAATGTTTTTGCATATTTATATGCGTAAATCGAGCACAAGCACGAAATATAGTTCGACATGTGGTGATCATATTGATGTACAATAAAAAAATGTATTTTTGGTCAAGAATTCTTTCGGTCAAGAATTTATGTCCTGATATAAATAAAAATATTTTAAAAATTAAAATGCAACTTTACTTTTGTAATTGTAACATTTCGCAAAATTATTCAAATACTTTTGTGATCTAATAAAGATTTTGTAGATAAAAATAAAAAAAATGGACCGAACTTCATCGATTTAATATATCACTTTATCTAAACTTGTAAATTTAATTAAATAAATTTCATTAATAGTTATATTAATTGTAAATAACTATTATCTCCGACGTAGGTCATATCACTATTATGAATCGTATCATTACAGCACTTTAAGAAGCTGTATTATTTTCTGGAATTGGAATAATAGTTTAAAGTATATTCCATGAATATTTTAATCAGCTACGCTGAACGCTTATTACATCCGTAAATGCGACCATATTTCTGCGAGTGCTCTCGCTACCTTACTGAAACCTAATTTCTGCAAAAACTGTTTAATCTTACACACGCATATATTATGTTCTACTTCATTCTTTTTCATTTTGCACATTACATGTTAAAACACTATTACGATTACGGTATGTAAGTAGGTACTTCGCTATGTGAGGAGATACGTGAGTACATCGTACGTGCGGACTCATACGCGCAGCTTAATCATTACATTACGTATGGGAATATTATTTATAGCATTACTTTTTTTTTAGTTTAGGTAAAATTAGCGGTAGAGTATTAATACGAATACGTTTTTCCTTCCATTTATTTAGGTATGCTTTTTTTGCTTTGATTACGGACGTCTATTTGGAGCTGCTCACCGTTATTATGCTATTTTCTCATTCAATTAGATTAACAAGATATTTTTCTCCTCAGTTTACGTACTTGTTTAAATGTATCCTAAGATTTTACCGCATCAGAAAAAAATTCTACTTTGATGCGAGATACAATAGATTTTCATTTTCTTTTGTCCATATATATATATATAATATATACTTATTATTTTTAATAATATATATAATATGGTATTGTGTACAATATGATTTTACGTCATTATAATTATTAGGCGATCCATGCCATATGTAGGTCTTGATCTTAATCTAAAGATGAATGAATATTGCCAGAGATTCTACGTACACATTCTATTTTATAAATATATACATATATTAATAAAATACAATCTAAAGATGTATACTCTCTTAAAAAAGACTCAATTTTCAATTTTTAAAGTGAGATTTCACTCTGAAGAATTATCAACTTTTAAGAGTGACATTTAAATCTTCAGAGTAAGGGCCTGTTTACAATATGTGAAGTAAGCTTGGTTTAAGAAGTAAGAAATTGATCAATCACAGTCAAATGTGAGAAGAATAATTGACTGCGATTGGTCAATTTCTTACTCTTACTTCTTAAACCAAGCTTACTTCGCATATTGTAGACAACGCCTAAGATTCAATCTATAAGTTTTAGAGAGTATATGTACATGTATATAAATCTTTAGATTAAAATTTTATTTTTTAAACAAATAATAATAAATATAATATTTTTTATTCTTCTTTATAATAATTATAAAATCAATGAAAAATGAACACATTATGTTGCTCAGCATTGAACATGTTTATTTTCGATTTTATAGTTATTAAATGAAGAATAGCTTTATATATTTTGAATAAAATTTGATCAAGACTTCTATGATAAAAAATCAAGACCTATACATCGATCGCACTAATATAGTAAGAGGAGAAAAAAATAATTAGGCAATAATTTATTATATCTCGGTTATTTCTTTCAGGTTTATCTTCTCCTTTTTTTACGAATTCTAAGTAAGTAATACCAACAACGGGTTCTATATCTATGGAAAAGTCTACCCTGACACCAAATTACGTATTTAATGTACTAAGAATGAGATACTCGTCCGGTAATGTGGTTCGTGTTTCTCGTACATACATACGAGCGTGTATCCATGTGTAGCTTATTTTTTCCCTCGTTTGTTGCTTGTTTTTATCCAAATTAGTGTGTACTCGCGAACACTTATGTATGTTTATAATTTCCAATATACGGTTGAAAAGAACAATTAAAAAAAATGTACAAATTATAATTCTTAAATAATTTCGATTGAGTATTATAGAAATTACGATATAGAAATTATGTTATAAAATTTTGCATGTAAAACATTTTATCCTAAGATCCTCTTCAGATTAAATGATAAAATTTTCTCAAAATGATAAATAGATTAACCATATGTTATGTGTGCTTGTGTATATGTAATTTTTGCTTGTGTATCGAAACGGCAGGATAATCGAGACAATTATTTTGTCAGAATCTTGACAAAATGTGGTTGCCAAGGATATTGTACAGTTATTTACCATCTATATCACGCTTTCAAGAAATAACGTTCAGAAAGATATATTCTTGAGAAAACCAATGTTTATATACTCACGGCACGTTACCTCGTTCTTCAATGTCTGAATATCATTTGTCTTTCCATCATAACATTTATATTTCTTAAATTCGTCGACATAATTCGCGAATTCAACGATATTTTATTGCTCACGATAGGATACTACTTTTACTCTCATATTGGTAAAAAAATAAATACCCTAAATTTTTATTGTGTCTAAAATAATTTACTATATTATTAACAAAAAGTTTTATTTCTTGCGATTTATCTGAATTGACGTATCGGAATGTTTGAAAAACATAAATATGTTTCTCTTATATGTTTTTCTTGTATCCGTGAGTATAGGTTTTTTATGCGAAACCGAGCGTACCGAAAGAGCTGTTCAAGAAAAAAGTTTTATAGCGCATATATTACATACATGCTTTACTATATAATTTGTATAAAATCAGAACTTAAATTTCAAGCAAGGTACAATTTTCTTTATAAAACCCATATGTAGATAAAACTTAACTAATCTATTTGTTCGATGGATAATTAAAAATTTCAATACACAAAATCGGCATGGATATTATTTAGCTAATTCATTTAAAAAGTGTACGTGCAAATATTAATTTTTTTTACTGAAAGAAGCGACGTAGGGAAAAGTAATTGTGTACGCCCGCTGCTTATAATTGTAGACCGATATCTAAGAGAAGTATCGCAGTTACTGGAAGTCCGCAATCGCGCAAGAAACACATTCGTTGTTCCAACGAAAACGTCGTGAATTTTACGCCTCTTCTAATTTTGCTTAGTGATCGTACGAAGGAAGTATTCGTGCGACGTTGAAGATAAAACATTTCAACGTCAAAAATGATGAAATCATTTTCGCGAAATCGCGTCACCGTTTTTCCTTCGGAATGAATGATGCATCCTACAAGATCTAGCTAATCAACGAAAATTCGCACATACAAAGTAAGTGATTAATCAAAGATTAGCTAAATTCTTATTTTGTTCGCTTCTCTTACAATTGGATGCCGGTTTGTTTATGGAGATTTGATTTAATTATTTCCCTTTTTTTAGATTTCGATCAATTAATCGAAATGTCGTCGTTAATAATCCTGTCGGCACATATGACCATTAATCCTTCAGTTTCAGCCCATTTAACTAGTCTACTCACCACCTCGATGTAATTATTGGCTCTTCATGGCAGTATCGCGCCAATTCGTACGTTCATCGCTTGATAATCGCGATGGCTCATTGTGTAGCACCCGATTAACAATATACATTATACGTTCTAGGAATCAGTCACAGGCTGAGCCCCGTACGAGGCGGTTTCGTATGTCGCCCTTCAGGGGCTAGCCAAGTAAGTACGTAGCTGGGGTGGGGTGCGTTCATTTTCTATGTTTCGAGTTTTTAGTTTTTACTATCGTAACATCTACTTATTTTTCTTTCTTGCTTAAAAAAACAAAATAAAGAACCGACTCAGCAAGGCATTCGTCGTACCTTTATTTTGGTCACCCAGAGAAGATCGCGTTCTGTGTATCTTCCAGGCTTCCTAAATCCTCGCTATCTTCCCCTCTTGATAAAAAAAAAAAAAAACACCGATGACTGCATCCGCCAAGTCTTCTACTTGAGAGCCAGCAGCTCACTGACTCGAGGAAGATCGCAAAAATCTTTGCATCAGATGTTTCGTACCTGTTTCTCGCGTGCGAAGATGAGAGGAAGAGAACTCAGGATCTTCTACGTGATCGACCTTACCAACTACTTCGCTTCGGAGTCTTCGTCCAGGCCGCTCCAGTCTCTTGTGTCTTCCTTAAAAGAAAGAGAGTCGGCTCAGTAAGGTATCCTATGTGGGTACCTTACTGACTGCTTTCAGAAGATCGCTTTGCGTTTTTTCCAGGCCGCTTACGTGATGTTGCTGCTGATGCTGAAGAGCGGCGCTCTGCTGCTCCTGCTGTATCTTGGCCTGTTTCTCCGCCTGCTGTTTCTTCATCATATCTTGCTCCTCACGCTCGCGTCTGGCTTGTTCGTTGATCTCTTTGACTGCCCTCAACTCCTTTTTCAGTTTCATTCGCCGATTCTGGAACCAGATCTTGATCTGTCGTTCCGTCAGGCAGAGTGCATGCGCGATCTCTATTCGTCGTCGTCGCGTCAGATAGTGATTAAAGTGAAATTCTTTTTCTAATTCCAACGTTTGGAACCGGGTGTATGTTTGCCGACCTCTGCGCCTCGGACAGCCATTCGGACCTGAAAATGTTAAGAAATCTAATTTTTGAGACCACTCGATAGTCTCTAGACTCCTCTTCTTAGATAAATTGTAATCTTAATGTGCAACAAATTTATTTAAAATTAAAAAATGTTCAAAATTATTTTTAATCTAAAAGCTCTTTTTTCGTATTTTTAAAATAATAAAACATGTTAATATAAATCAAAAAATACAAATATATATTAAAAGAAGACAATATAAATATATATATTCCATATATTTCTGTAATAAAGAATTGTACCATAGATATCTTTGATCAATTCTTTTATTAATTTTTTTATGAAGCGTGATCTCATCAACAATAATAATTTCAAGTAAGGATATTCTCTTTCTTGTTTTTGACTAATAATCTCAGGTGCTCTTCACACCCCATCACAAATCTTAACTCTCTCCTCACTTTCTCTCTCTCCAAAAAGAAAAAAATGTTCTTTTAACCTGCCGCTTATTGCGAGGGTTAAAACATGTAACAAAGGATGAATAAAAATAGAAAGTTCCCAGGAAGCTCTCACGAAAGTTACAATGAACCCTTTCTAGTGCTACTTCACTCGTTTAACTTTCTCCAAGAATTTATGTCATAAACAAAGATACAGGCGACTTTAAATTTTTTACGGGTTTCAAAGATACGAATCGAAACAGGTAAAAAAGTCGACGAACAGGTAAAAAAAAGTTTGTGCTACGTTACGGGATTTATTTGGAAACAGTTTCTATGACAGCACGAGTTGGCTATAATTAAATGATAGTAATAATAATTAAAATCAAATGTAAAATAATCAGGGAATTATAAATAAAAGCTCGTGAGGCAAATTTAACTGTAATAGTTACATATAAATGGTCTCTTAACACTGTAATGTCATTGCTGAATTTCGAATATATTTTCATAATCAATTCAAAGGTAACTTCACTTTCAGTTGTCGCCACGAGCGAGGCGCATCTCTTTTCTGAAGATCGCTAAGAAACCGGTTCTTTAGTGTGCAAAGAGTGGACAGCCATAATACCATCATTCGCGGAGCGACGCTGAGTGGCTATATTATTGCTTCAAGATGAAGCAAATGCGTGCTACTGACCAATAAAAGATAGCGAGATTTTTTTTCCGATTATTTTACGAGAGTACGAAGATTGTATCAAGACAATAAAAAGTGAGAAAATTAATTATTATATTGGTTGAAAATCAAAGAGATGTAGTTATAATAATTAGCCACAGATGCATTGAAAATAGCATACATGTATATGTATGTAAAAATATATATGTACAAATATAAATAAAAGCATTTTAGTTTTTATTTAATAACCATATAAAATAGAGATTTTTTAATCGAAACTGCGATTTAATGAGCAAGATTTTACTGTCGGAAATTAAAGAACCGTGAAAAAATGATATGTAATTACATTTTGATAATCGTTAGTCCTGAACTTGCTGGATTGTAATCGAGAAGAATGTAAATACTACTTGAAACATTATACATTCATTTTCATATAAATAAATAAAACTAAAGCATAATCATATTTCGTACAAGACAGTAATGCTATTTATAAGGCTTAGTAAGCGATCGCAATTTACACTCAAGTTATAGTAATAGCCATGTAGCCGTGATTTGCTTACATCTTACGGAATAGCATGTCGAGAAATTGGATTAACAAATAGCAAAGGGGATATTACCCTATGACAGATTTAAGCGAGGCACCGTATTTTCTTTCGTCATGTAATGATACTCGTGCTATATAGCGATCGGGAGCTCGAATGACACGCACGTGCGCAATTCTCGATGCAGGATGACCCATCAAATACGTATCGCTCTGGACCGCGCGAGCAGAAAACTCTCGGAGAATGCAGAGAATGCTGATATTGAATTCAGCATGGCCGTTCTCGCCAATGCGGTCCACAAGCTCGCGGCGGTGTACGCGTGTACCTGAATCAGCGACCACACTCACGAATTCCGCTTTTTATGTGCGTGTGGTAGGACCAGCTGTGTCTGTATTGGTGCGAATCAACACCGTTTTTAGCGCGGTCGTGTGCGTTCAGTTTGGCACACGTACGTTCGTGGCAGCCACGGGGTGGTTACCGAAGCCCGAAGGGTGGGACATAGGTTACCTTGGCAACCCAGAGGGGAGACCATTCCATCCTCCTGGCGGCATATCACGCAGGAGCAAGCCTAGCACAGCAACCAGAAAACTCTTGGTTGCATCCTCTCCACCGACTCTAGGAGGGCCCGTCGATCTTGGAAGACGGGTGAACTTGATTGCGCCCACTCCATTCGCCATAAATATGGCCTATCGGCGAAGTGCTAGCGTGCGAGTATTATTAATAATTTCGATAGGGAAAACTAATGCCGCTGTGCCAGAATTATCCAACGAGAATAAAGTTGCGCGCTGAGGTGGAGGCTTACCAGAAGCATAAAATAAGACATTTGATAAAAATAAAAAGTCACTTTTCTAAAATAAAAATGCAAAACATTTTTAAAGAACATAATGTAAACGATAATTAATGCAATTAATAATTTTCTTTACGTATATAAACATATAAAACGGTCAATGCTTCTTTTTATGTTGAAATTACTGTAAAAAAATAGAAATTCATGCATGGGATAAAAGATTGATATCGCTTATCTCTAGAACCCCGCAAAGTATTAATTAGAGTTCTGTCGTAAATGATTCGGAGACAAATAAATTATAGTCAATTGTCAGCGATCCATTACCACTCTACAGAAGGGCGATGGGATGCGCGCACAGAAATACGCCATTATGAATGGCACAGGCCTGTGTCTAATTACGGTCATATACTAAGTTTAATATCTGCTTTAGCATGCAGCTCAGGGCTTGGAGAACAATCGTGGATATTGTGGAAGTTGTCGGACTATGTTCGACAGTCTGTACCACTACAAACCCAGATTTGATAAAAAAAATTGACCTATACTATTTTTTATATAGATACCTAAAGAATTATTCCTTATTTTGTTTTAAAAAGTAACAAACATTTATATTTCATCAAATCTTTTTGATGTTGTTCCATTAGACAAGTTAAATGAATTGATAAGATGTAATTATTGACTTTTATCTTATAAATAATCTATCAGCAACTTATGTTCTTAAATCTATTAAATTTAAGCAGTGTCCATTCGATATTGTCAGATGCCCCCAGATGCTTTCGCGTTTATGAAGCAACTCATTTAGTACGATCAATATTGTCATCACTATGTAAATAAGCCAGTATCATTAAAGCTTAACACTGTAGCTGTATTCTTTCGATCGAAGCATCAAGTACGAGCTAAGGACGGATATCTAACTTATTAATGAGTCATGCACTACCACTAGAACACTCTGAAGTGTCATCTGGAACCCATCTGAAAATTAACTAGCCTCTAGACTATCTATTATTACCACAATACAAAAAAATTGAGCAAATGTAACATGATGATAGTACGTCGAAAAAGTGTTAGACAGATTCTGCGATATTGCCAGCACTGTCTAGTCTTGACAGTACCTGCAAATCGCGAACCCTCGCGTCTAGATATGTCGCATTACGGCCTAACCCCTCTTTGTTCGACCGCCGGAGGGACCATGCGTGAGCCCCTCAGCGATCCATTCATAAATATCTCAAAACGGCTTAATTTCGCGGCGCTGCGGGCAAATAAAATCTCGAGCCGGTGAAAAATGTAGATAGTTTGCCAGATGAAGGAGAACGGGCGGGGGAAAGGAGTAGAGGGACGAGAGAGGAGATACGACATAGCCACGACCCACGACTCGCTTGATCGCCGTCTCGAGTCACTGCAGCCTCTGCCAGAACGATAGAGTTGGAGAGGACCGGATAGGAGGCATGTTAAAGAAAGGGAAGGGAATAGAGGTGGAATGTAAAAGAAATGACCGAGAGAGAGAGAGAGAGAGAGAGAGAGAAGATAAGGAGAGTGGATGAGATATGTAAAGGAACGAGAGGAATGGGAAGTGCCAAGGAAGAAAAATACTTACAATAACTCCGTCGTCCATTCCGTTGCGATTCCAGCTTCGGGTGCGATTTATACGGCTAATCCTCGCACTTTTCTTACCCATGTCTCGCCCAGTCGCCAGGTATCCGGTTAGACTGTATTTCAAGGCCGCCGATTATTCAGCTATATACCAAACGGTAGATAAACCGTTGTTCTATCTGACATTCATTAAACCACACCTCCCTGCGCCCGATTTGTGAGTTCTAGCGATGTTGTTGCCGATAGTCGCATTTATCGGCGACATATCGCGTGAAAAATTTGAAATAGCTGGAATCTGGACGATCGAAAGACTGGGAAAATTCGCGTGAACATTCGCGAAATGTTACGCGGAGAATTCGCAGACTATGTTATAATTTCTATTCCGTAACCGATAACGTGGGGTTTTTCTGCAATGCAGCTTCGGAAAAGGTAGTATCCTCGATGCTTATTGCCAGACAGCCAGTACGTATTCGATACCATCGCGGGAAGTGCGCTATGTAAATTTTATGAGAGCTGCTGTTCGCAGGTAATTATTGTAAGCGGTACACGAAAGAGGCCCCGATTAAATCTATTCTAATTTAAAGACCAATTTAAATAAAACGCGTTTTGATTATACTAGCTTCGATACTTGTAATTGGTAATTTTACAATTTGAATGTATTGTAGATCGTAGCCAAGATATTACTTATTCGAGTGTATCGATGATACACTGCTTTTCCACTTGAAATATTCATTTCCACCGCTAATATATCAATTATTCCCTAACTAGACCAACCTCGGAACCAAATTAGTCGATCTTATATTATATAAGAAATATTTTATCTCTGCTCCATTAATTTTGTCGTCAAATTATTCCATTTAACATCCTGGAAAAACTATTAAAAATCTATATTTTGTTATGAAAGAAATTCTAACGTTTTTTATTCTGATTTATAAATGATATAAACCTTTAAATAAATATAGGAAAACCAAATACAAATAAACGTTGTGTGGTATATTAATTCATTACTTTTTTTTATATTAGCT